CCGGGGGGGCCAGGACCCAAACCCATTTAAGGGAGACGGAGAAGAGGCAGTGGTGTCTGAGGAGGAGGTGAAGCTGGCGTCGTTCGAGCGGCAAATCGCAGAACTCAAGGATGTGGGAGTGAAACACCTCACCCTGGCAGCACCTCTGCTGAATCGAAAAGAGGCAACGGTGATCGCTGCAACATCGAAGTTGTTTGCAAGGTACCGTGCACTTCAGGTCCCGGTGTTCCGCATCAAAAGACCGACAGGGCCAAGGAGTTCGTGTCAAAGCGGTTCCGAGAGTGCAGAGATTTGGAGCACTGCTTCACTGCAGGCGACGAGCCAACTGCAAACTCGAGGGCGGAGATTGAGATTGGCGTGTTGAAGAATGCTGCCAGGGTGCTACTACAGTCTGCTGGATTACCTGTTCGCGACTGGCCGCCGGCGTTGAGGCACGCAGCAGAAGAGAGGCATCGAGGACAGCTGAGGGCATTCGGACTGAACTTACCAAGGGCTGCAAGGCCATGGTTCGGACAAAGACCTGGCGTCGCCGCTGGGATGAATGGAAGCATCCCATGATTGAGGCAACTGTCATGGGTCCAGCAGAGGGCATGGCTTCATCGGCGGGGGCCTACTGGGTGATGACGATCGACTGGCATGGGTTCCGAACCACGGTAGCTGTGAGGCCGCGTCGGGCAGCGACCATTGAGGGGGGAGTTCAGGCCGTTGAAGATGGCAACCTTGAAGAAGGTGAGCTTGAACGAAACCGTCCGGAACGTGATGGTCAAGATGCAGCGGAATTACTGCGCAATGGAAACCCGCACTCCATTGCGAACCAACTCAAGGAAGCGGCTGAATTTTGGGAGGTCTTTGATGACCAGGCACAACCCCCTTCACCGGATCGTGAAAGAGATCATGACGATGGTGAGGAGGATGCTCAAGCTGATGACTTCGAAACACAGGTCCATGGACTGCTGATGACTGAGGTTGATGAGCATGATGTGGCAGACCGAAGGTACCGCCTGCAAGGTAAACAACCAGCTCATCGACTACATCACCAAGGCCGACGACCTGGGGGGGAGGAAGTCTATACAGCGGTGAAGGCGCTGAGCCAATCCCGAAACACTGTGGACCTAAATGGATACCAAGAGTGTCGAGGGTGTGGACTCAAAAAAGTCGCAGTTGAGAAAGAGTGCAAGTGCAGGGTGTGTGAAATGTCGAAAGAAGAGAAGGATGTGGAGGAGATCGTCGTGGAGGGCATCAAGAGCACCACAAGAGAGGTACAGGTGATGAATGAACTCCGGCGAGGGCTCCAACAGGTGATCGTGGACGAGGTGGCCATGAGTATATCACCAGAAGGCCAAACAGATGCGTGCGTCAGGCAGTTGAGAAGAGATGCTATGTGGTTGGATCGAAGAATTCGAGAGGAATAACAAGAGATGACCCACATCATGAAAGCGGTGGAAACGGGGGAGAAGGAGGCAATCCCACAGGAGGCGGAGGTGTTGCAGACCTATTTGGTCGGAATAAAACAGATCCTTGAAGAGAAGGAGTTGTGGATCCCCCCAGTGGAAAGTGAGGTTATGGTGTTGGAGAACACTGGCACATTAATTAGTGAGGAAAACTCCCGAGGAGGTGAAAGCGCTGGTGCAGTCTGGCATCTACATCGAAATCATCCCGGGCAAGCTACTGTGCAGTCGGAAGGCGCCATGTGGAAGAAGGAAGGCAAGGATTGTGGGGTGTGGAAACTTTGGCACGCCTGATGAGACTGTGACAACATCAACGGGAGGCATCGATGCAGTGGCACTGAGGGTCCTGATGATGGTCGCAAGCCAGAGGGGCTGGACATGTGGCTCCACGGACATCAAGAGTGCGTTCTTGCAGTGACCCAGTTCAGGATCGTGCCGCCTGGAACAATGTGGGCTGCAGAGGGTGCGGAGCTGCAATGGACAGATGTGTGGAAGATCGTGGACCTGGATGGTGAGGTGAAGGCCTACTTGGGGACGTATGTAGACGACCTGATCATATTGGGGCCCACGGAGGAAGTCAGATCCGTGCTCCATAAGGTGGAGGCCATCTGGGAGTGCTCAGGCAGCCAAGTGCTCGAGAAAGAAGGACAAGAGCTGAAGTTCTGCGGTTTTCAGGTGCTTCGAACGAGCGAGGGCTACAAGTTGCATCAAGGGACTACATTGACTACATCCTGGACCTATGCGACAAAAAGGGAGTGACGGGCCCATCGGCTTGGAAGGGGACGGTCCTTCAGGAGGCGGAGGATGAGAAGTTCGATATCGCAACATTGAGGGAAGCGCAGACCCTCGTTGGAGAACTTCAGTGGGTTACGTGCAGGAGCAGGCCAGATGTCTGCCATGCCACAGGAGTCCTAAGTCGAGCGATGCATCGACGCCCGAGGGAAGTATGTGAACAGGCGAGAGCAATCTTGACGTACCTGAAGAACACTGCTGACCGTGGCATCAACTTCCGGAAGGCAGGTGAACACCTACTTGGCGAGAAGGAAGAGCTTAAGTTCCCAAGGGGCGAGGCTGACGTTGAAGCATATGCAGATGCATCATTTGCACCAGCAGCGGAAGCTTATAAGTCTGTTCACGGAACGATTGTGATGGTAGCTGGTTGTCCCATCTTGTGGAGCTCGGCGAGGCAGCCATTCATCACGGGCTCAACAGCAGAAGCGGAGTTGGTGGCCTACACGGAGGTCTTCCAGCAGGCTGAGGGGGTGGCAACTTGGCTTGAAGCCCTGCGCATCGAGAATGTGGAGGTCGCTGTATGGTGACAGCAAGAGTGCATTGGCGCTGCGTCAGGGTGATGTGGGTGCGTGGAGGACTCGCCATCTTCGACTACGTGCAGCTGGTCTAAGGGCGGCAGTGGGCTGTGAGGTAAGTGGCTGGTACACACATCATGTCAAGGGGACAGAACTACCAGCTGATGGACTCACGAAGCAACTTTTGGGGCCGTCCTCTGATTCATTCGTGAACCAGATCGCGATGAAGGAGAACCACGGCGGGAGCCGGGCACAAGTGAGGGCGATGGCTGTGAAGCAGCGGGAGTGCCAAGCAGAAGATGATTGGACCATCATGAGAGGGGCATTGGCTGCGGCACTCTTTGCGAGTGGCGCTGAATCGCAGCTGGTAGATTTGGTGGCGCTTGCACTCATGCTGGCGGGAGTCACCTGGTTGAGGAAGATTCAGAAAAGATGGGATAGGGAAGATGAACCATCCCTGGGGGGACCTGCTCCCAAGGCTGGGGACACCACCATGAGGGCACAAAATGAACCCATGGTGGAAGATACAAAAGAAAAGAAAAGATCGGACCAGACCAGAAGAAAAGTGGCGAGGGCCCAAAATGAACCCGCCAGGGGAACCCATCCTCCTGACAGTAGCCCAACGGGCTCCCGACAGGGTCAGAGTGGTGACCAGAAGACCACAACGCGCCCGCGAGCCATGGTGAGAATGCTGCAAGCGGATGATGGCGGCCCACCTAGAGCACGACCGCATGAACCGTGGTGGCATCCTCCATTCCATGTACCTCCAACAGGCACTACAGACCGCTGACAGCTGGTGGAGAACTTTGCGGTGAGGGTTCACTGCAAGATGAGGTATCAGAGATGCCATCCAATCCACAGCTCATATCCACTGCGAGATGAGCAGATTTTGACGGGCAGGAGGGTGACCATCAAATACATTGGTGGAGAACAACCAGGCCGACCTTCGGAAGACTCATGGATTGAGCCGCCGACAAGGGAGAGCCGGATGAGCAATAAGATCGAGGGAAGGTGGAATGGCTACACGTTCTTTGAACTGCATAGCCCGGCGCATGGAGCAAAAGCGGCGAGCTACTATGTGGGCACGAGGCCAGTTGGAGAGTGGGCTCGACAAGAGCACACACTCCCTCCACACCTTCGCATCCCAGAGAACATGAGGGCGGAAGAAGCAGCTGACCTGCGCCATCGACGAGTACATGATCCGGTGGACAACGGAAAGGACTGAAAGGTCATCGGCTAGTGCAGATGGACTAAGACCTGTGGGAGAAAGGCCGCCGATCAATTCAACGGCGAGTGCATCCACGGCGCTCCTCCCATGGGCAACAGCGATGAGGATTGGAAAACCTCCTCCTCCCATGCCGCCCATGGAGCGATGGACTGGACTTCCAGAGGGATTGAGGTTGGCGCTGCAAGCACTGACAGACTCAGAGCGAGACTGGGAGAGACCACCAGGATCTGAACCCATTTATTGGGCGCAGGTCGGAAACCGCATGTTCCATCGGAACGACCTGATGAGGCAGGCCATCATGATGGAGCAGCAACCAGATGCTGAAGTCCCTCAACTGCAGTTGACCTTGGTGGAGGGTCGCACGGACAATGGAACTCCGTGCTACATCGCGACAGCGGTGCCAGAAGGGGGATCGAGTGGAAGTGGCACGATCTCGTCAACACTCCCCACGGTCATGACAGACTGGTCGACCCCGGACTCCACAAGGGCACAAGCAGATGGAAGCCTGGGAAGTGCGGCATCGGCGTGCCGAGGCCTGCCCGAAGGCGATGGCATCATGCCCGCAACCGCCCCCGGGCTTGCAGCAGGAGGCGACAGGTGCCTATGGGATGCTGATGGAGGCAAATCAGACTCCATCCCTGAGTGGAAGTGCGGAGTCACCGTATGTGTTTGACTGGCCGGATGATGACCGGATCAGTTGGAGTAGACTGGAGGAGGGCAATACGCCCTAGGGCCTTGAGCTTTTCCGTGACAAAAAGCCACGGAGGGGGAGTGCACTAGAACACTCACTTTTGACCAAACATGTGGCCTGACCGTAGGCCCTTTTTATGCCCAAGAGAAAAGGTGCGCAACTTCGCGTGGGTTTTCAGGTTGAAACCAGCGTACCCCCCTCAGGACTCCAGGCCCAAAAGCCCCTCTTCTCAACACCCCTTCTGTCTGTCATCAGTTGGAATTCGAGCCAAGAGTCTTGAGGGGGCATGATGCAAGGGTGTCAATTTGTATTGTAGGGCTTTCTTGATGATTCTGCTCTTTGGACTGCTCTGTGCCAGCATGTGGTGCATGCCTCAGCCAGGCAGCTCATGTGAGGAGACTTGAAGCATCTCTCCTGTCTGTGTCAAGTTGTAGGTCGTTGGTGGCATACTCTTGGACCATGGAGCTTGAAGATTCAGGGTGCGCATTTGCTGAGGGACGCCTTTGCATGGGCTTAGTATGCCTCAGTACCTCTGCATCGTTGCCAGGATTTGGCAAATTGGTGGGGAATTCTATGCCACCCTCCTTCTGGCGTGGTTGAGTATTGCTATTGCAAAGGTTTGTTGTTGATTTTGTGTGCAGGTTGGAACTTTAATGCTGATTTTCCACGCAATCTTTGAATGGCTGTACTGGAGAGAAACGCCACTGCCCGAGATTGACCTTTCATCACACGGGTGTGTATTTTAATAAGGAGACCCCGAACCAGTTGGGTTTGGTCTGTTTCCCTTCTTCCAGGGGGTCTTTGGGAGGTTTCCCTATTTTCATACACACCTGACATCATGATCCAAGAAAGCTTTGGCAGTGTGATGACTTTCTGAGGCAGTGCATCATGCCGTGGTGGAGCCGAATGAGAAAGGTGTCGCAGCCTCACTCAATCTCTTACTTGCTTGCTCACCCATGCACTCACTCTCACTCATTGACTCAGACGAAGCCTCCAGTCAATCAAGCTTCGTTCTCACGCAGACGCGCCGTGCCCGCAGCGGCAAAAGGCCTTGGGATCCCGTGATCCACGGCATACCGTTTGCGGACTTAGCCTCGATGCCTTGGGTCTTGGATGGGGACTAGAGCAATAGGATGCTCCAAGTTCTGCAGGCACCGTTTTCGATGGTCAGCAGCCAAGTGTAGAGGGTAAGTCCAATTGCTCCAAGTAATTGGTGGATTGGTGTACTTTTGGCAAGCGGCGATGGCTCTGGACTAAACTTGTTGCCTGAAGTGATGCTTGACATTGAGAGGTTGGGTTTGCCAAGCATGTGGTTTACTTCGAGCGAAGCATATGCTGATCTGGCGCAGTGGACCCGCCCTGAGTCTCGCTCGCTTGGCATGGCCGCAAAATTGGACTGGTTGCCATACCCAGGATCCACCTTGCCAAAGGACAACCCTCTGAGCGGAAGGCAGGATGCGCTGCATGACACATGTGCCTGGCTTCAAAACATTCTTGCTGGGCGCGACGTGGCTGAAGGTCAACAAGGTCTTCCCAGAAGAAATGGCATTATATTCTTTGCAAGCCTTGGTGCTCAGTTGCAGTTGATTAGTTGATTGGAGTGGATGGAGAGCTCTATTTGTGTAGAACTGCTTAGAACAAGGCGAGTGGTGCGTGCCAACTTCGAAGAACTCTTCAACATGCAAAGCTGTATAGTGTGCGAGCACGTCAAAGTATAATATTCTTACGAACGTAGCAGTTGCATACACACCTTTGCTTTTGCCTCAGGTACATACAAGTTCTTTTCTCACGCGAACTGGTGTGCAGTGCTTAGCAGCCTAAACGTTTGCCAAGATTTTGAGTGTAGATTGAAGGGCGAAAGCCTGACAGGCAAAGTCACCAGGCCAACTTCAGGATCTGCCAAATGGTGGTCATCCCGAGGCAGAGACCGCGCGTAGTGCTGAATCGTTGCTTTTAATGCAAAGCAGAGGCCTTGCAGATAGACTTCATGTTCTATGACATCCAGAGCAAAGAATACCTGCAGCCTGAAGAGGCTTGGCAAATCCTTCCTTTTCTACCGTTTTGACAAAGCAAGCTTTCTTGGGGTGCTGTTTACAAACAGGAGTATACGAACACACAGATCCATGTTGTGCGTCCGCAGCCGAGCAGTTGGTGCTATTCCAATTTGGCTGCTTGTCTGCTTGCCTTCTGAAGTATATAACTTAGATCATGCTGGACATGGGCCTGACTGTTGGACTCTCAGACTCTCAGAGCAAATACTTTTTTTTTTGACAAGAAAAGACACACATGACCTTAACAGCGATGGCCTCCAACCTGTATAATAGCAATGACCTCCAACCTAATAGCAATGGCCTCCAACCTAATAGTGATGGCCTCCGACCTAATAGCAACGGCCTCCAACCTAAGAAATACATATAAGGATCATTCGAACCTCCCTTTTCAGCCTCATACATGATGTACGCCCTTGCTGTCATTGCCCAGTTGACCGCAATGTAACTCTTCTGAATCGCCAGCGTGACGGCAAAGTATCGTCTTCGGTATTGTAGCTGGGACGCGGAGTGGAAACTCATCTGAGCTGCACAAAGGACACACTGCACTGCGTTGGTGTAGCTGTTGTGATCATCAAAGGACTTAACCCTCACAAGAACTTCAATGGACGTGAACAGCCGTCTTCAGCAGCTCCATGTCAGTTTTCAGTGTCTGGGTATCTACGGTATCACTCTTTTGATTTCACGACTCTGAGAAGTTCAATGATTGTTTGGTGCTGAGCTCTCCTGAGCTGTGCCGACAGCATTTGCAGAGTTGCTGTGCTGTTCTCAAGCAGCTCAAGATGTATGACATGCAGAACAGCAGACGGGATCAACAGGGTAACATAGCAGATTGGGTGGCTTCTTGTGGACTGCAAAGTCTCGATCCGCCTGCCATGTGACATGGACGTGGAGTTGAGTTTAAGGCAGGGAAGCCTCAGTTGTTGTTGGAAGACACCGACGGAAGCCATCAGGTGCCAAAGGCAGAATGAGTCTGCCTGGATCTGCAAAGAAGCTGGGGCCTTTTTCAGATTTCGCCTCACAGATATTGAGAGAGTCGGCAAGAAATGAACAGCAGGGAATCTCTGGAACATTTTGATTTCGAACGCGAGTGGGCCGCATTAGGTCATATCCTGAAGTCTGCTCAATAGCGGCAGCTTCCTCTGCAGCGAGCGGAAATCCTGGTCCAGACCTTACATGTTGTTCTTAGACTTTGCTGAAGATGCATCTGTCACGAGTCATTGCTTGCTTTTCCTGAGAGCAGACCGATCTCTCCAAGGATCCTTCCTCAATCTCACAGCCTTCATTGGTCAGTGCGGAGGCAAAAGAGGCATCCATTTCTTTGATTTTAGTGTCTCACTTTGCATCTATTGCTTGATCCTATGACCAATATGTTACGCTGTTGGCATGCAACTACCCTAAACGCTGCCAAAACGGAATGTAGAATAGGCCTTTTGACACCTTGGCCACCATAGGCGGTGTACATCTTGGATATACATGCCGAGTCATTTTCTGGCGTAGCGAATCAGCGTCTGGAATCAGAGTCCTGCATTAGCGTCGAGCTGCCACAAGCAGCGTTAGTTACGAATCACTTTCAGGAGGACCGGATCAGATTCTGCACATAGTGAATCAGTGTCCGGAACCAGCGTCACCCTTCCCGAATCAGCCTGTGGCTTGCAGAATAAGCCCGTGTTGCGCTTGATATCAGACCTCGCTTGGATGCAAGCAAGCTCGACTATTGGGATGGTCGGGATGGTCGGGACAGTGTGCTGCAGATTGTAGATGAGACCTCGTGTGGTGAGTGATACTCGGGTTGGTTGGGATGGTCAGGATGGCATGCTTTACTGTATATTGCCGGATGATCATGAGCATACAGGTACCCACAGCTGTTCGACACAAAGGTCACACGGAAGATTCATTTTGTTACAATACTCCTTTTTGTTTTCGGGCCTATTCGGGCCTCCCGCTTCCGGCTCCGGCTTCCTGCTCCGGATTCCAGTTGCGGCTTCTGACTCCGGTTTTTGGCTCAGGCCCTCACTTCTGGCTTCGGGCTTCCGGCTTTCGCTCCGCAAACGCGACTTCACTTCTTTGCGTTTTCTTTGGGTTTGGCTTGCTTTGGGTTTGCCTTTCTTCAGGGTTTCTTTGGGCGTGGCTCAGGGCTTCACTTCTTCAGGGTTCTTTGAGTTTGGCATGTGGGTTTCCCTTCTTTAGTTTTCTGGGCTTGTCTTAGGGCTGGGCGCGACTCTGCAAAAGCACGAGCTATACCATATAAAAGGTCCTTTCTTTTGTTACTTGACCAGTGCTTTTGGCAAGCCGGATGGCCGGGACATTTGGGATAGACTTGTTGCATGCTCGCGGTGGTGGGGATGGTCGAGATATCTAGAATTGGGACAGGTTGAGTTGGTGTCAGACTTTGCTTGGCTGCAAACAAATGGTGAGCCGGATTGTTGGTGAGCCGGATTGTTGAGACGGTCGGGGCTTTGAAATCACAGAAGACCAGATTCCGATTCGGCCTCTGGCAATTCCGACTTGAGCTATTTGGGATTCCGATACCATGATTCAGATTCGACCAAACTCCAGAATCCGATTCGTTCTCCTGAGAACCCGATCAGCTGACACTGGACAGAGCCGCGCCCGTGCATCCTTTGTTTGTTTGTTTCTTTGCTTGTTTGTTTGTTTGTTTGTTTGTTTTCCATCGTGCTTTGATTGGTCTGACTGAGACTTTTGGCGAGGTCACCTGTTTTTATTGTTTTTCACACGCAGGCAGCCAGCCTGCGGAAAGAGGCGGAGCAGCTGCGCCAAGAGGCCGGTTCCTTTCGTACATTTGGGGACAGGTTCGGCACTGTAAACAGGAAAAGACACTGACACTGCAGATTATGTGTTTTGGATTTTGAGTCTGGCAGTTCCTTCAAGGGTTCGCCATTGTGTGTCTCCCGGCCCCTTCGTGCTGAACCAACACCACCACCCGCTGGCTTGTTCTGACCTTGGCCACACAGACAAAGTGCACTGCCTCTCTTGAAACGCTGGAGGCAAGGAGATCCTCCGCTGGGTGAAAGCACAAGAATCTCCCCTCAAGGGAGAGGATCGGCTCAGAGTGCCTTGGATGCAAGAAAGACGTGGCGATGGTCAAGTTCTGGATTGCCAGATAATTATCGCTAGGCTAGCTTGGTAAAAAGGAAACTTTGAGTCCCTTTGGTTATGTGTTTGTGCACAGCGGGGCTCTGACGATTCAACCCATTGCCCTTTAGTGGCACTGAGGCGATGAAATGGTACAAGTCGGGTCGGTTAGCGAGGCGAGCAAAAGCACGAAGCATGGATCCATTATTCCTGTGTTTTTAATAGCGATGGCCTCCAACCTAATAGCAAACTGTATGTATGTTTTTCTCTCTGAAATCAGAACGCTGGCATTAGGCAAGAAAAGAGCATTCCTGGCACAGTCCTGTAGTTGAGGTCACCAAAGCAGCCGAGTCGACAGGCGTGACCCACAATCATTCTGGAGCTTCCTGAGCTGACACCTTCTCGAATTTTTGCGGAACACAGAGAAACCCTTCAGGATACCTCGACCTCAGGGTGCGAGCCTCAGATCAACGGATTCGCACCCACAAGGACCAGATACAAAAAGAGGCAGGTGTGATGTGCGATGTTCGGCATGGCTTTTCGACACGGCAAGTCCCAACTCTACAAGAACCATCCACCTCCACACCCTCCGTGGAGACCTCATGAAGTAGAGATGGTCATGTTCATCAAGTGGACGAGAGCATGAAGATTGTCCAATGTTGGTCAGTGGTCGTAGACACGACAAGGTTACATCTTACATCATGTATCATCATGTTACATTCCATTTTGGATGATTCTGGCAAGCTTCGATGCTTGTCGCAAGGGCTGCTTTGTTGAAGCTGTGGGGCTCAGGTCTTGCTGCTAGAGGATTGGTCGACATGGCCATCACATCGGGCCCGGAGTTGCAGAATTCCTCGGCTTGCTTCCCACAACACGGCTCGGAGAAGAGTGGCGAGCTGCGAGCAGTGAGGCGAAGGAAGATCCGCTGGGGCTTCTTTTCCACCAGCATTCTTCAGATGCACAGCCTCAGCTGATCTCGGATGTTGCATCCTGAGATCCCGATCTTGACCGCCTGAATGCGTCTATCTCACGGTGAAAAGAAGCTCAAATCAATGAGCTGCAAGGAAGGGATTTGTGAAGCCCCCAATGAAGTTCATTCTTGAAGACTCTGAAGGCTCATGGTTTCGTGACGCTGACTGAAGCCAGGCTTTGAGCGGCACTAATTTCAAACGAGCAAATCAAAGGGGCACAAAACTGCCGGGAATGGTCAACAAATGATAGAAGTGCTCTTTGTCTCCTCAGAGACTTCACTTCAAAACACTTCTAATGTGTGCAGTGTTTTGATCGGGACAAGCTAGATCCCTTGTTGTGAACTGACAAAGAAGAGCTTGTAGTCTAGCATCGAGCATGGCTGCTAGTGCTTCCCAGCCAGATGCCACAGAATCCGCTCCATCAACAGAGGATTTGGTAGTGAACGTAAAAGTGTCTTGGCTTCGATTCAGGCTCATTTTAGATGCTTTCTGCGGAATTGCGGAGTGATTCAACTGCGTTTGTTCCAAAACAGCAGCAACAGCAACAGCAAGCTTTAACATGCGGAGCATCGTATGGAGATAGACAAACTGGGGGGCGCGACCCCGAGCAACACCAAGCAGCCAAGAAACTGCCCAGTCCTGTTGTTGTTGGCGGTGACCAAGTCCCAGGGTCGCTTTGGGACATGAACGTCACTGAAGTACATCTCTATCTATTCTGGGGTCACCATTTTGTGCAGTTTTGTTTGTTTTTGTCCTCTTTTCCTTAAAGTTTCTATTGAATACTTTAGCGGAAGGTTGTTTGCGTACCTCTCACCAATAATGCAGGCTTTTTGAGTCTGACTGAGGTCCTCAATCTCGCAGGCAGTGAGGTTGCTGATTTGCCTTTGAAGCCGGAGACAACGGTTCGGGAGATCAAAAGGACACTACAGGACAAAGTAAAATGTCCTGACTGCATGCAGTGCCTCTGCCATCAAGACCAGAATCTGGTCCGCAAGGAGTTTAGCAAACTGCACAGAAAAAGCAAACTTTGCTTGGGTGGAGGCCATCGCTATTAGGTTAGAGGCCATCGCCATTGGGTTGGAGGCTATCGCTATTAGGTTGGAGGCCATTGCTGTTAGGTTGGAGGCCATCGCTACTAGGTGGAGGTCATCGCTATTAGGTTGGAGTCCATCGCTATTAGGTTGGAGGCCATCGCTACTAGGTTGGAGGCCATCGCTACTAGGTGGAGGCATCGCTATTAGGTGGGAGTCCAGGCATCGCTATTAGGTTGGAGGCCATCTCTATTAGGTTGGAGGCCAACGCTATTGGGTTGGAGGCCATTGCTATTGGGTTGGAGGCCATCGCTGTTAGCTTGGAGGCCTCGCTGTTAGGATGTTGGAGGCCATCGCTGTTAGGTTGGAGGCCATCGCTATTAGGTTGGAGGCCAACGCTACTAGGTTGGATGCCATCGCTATTAGGTTGGAGGCCATCACTATTAGGTTGGAAGCCATCTCTATTGGGTTGGAGGCCAACGGTATCAGGTTCGAGGCCATTGCTATTGGGTTGGAGGCCATCGCTGTTAGGTTGGAGGCCTCGCTGTTAGGCTGGAGGCCATCGCTATTAGGTTGGAGGCCATCGCTGTTAGGTTGGAGGCCATCGCTATTAGGATTGAGAACGCTGTTGATTGTTGGATCCTAGAATCCTAAACCTCAGTGCAATGCAAGGCCTTTGGATGACAGAGACACCTGCGCAAGCCTTGGCTGGCAGGGCGAAGTCACAATCTATTTGACTCGAATGGCATTGGATGCTGAGAAAGGCATATCAACTCTTCTCAAGTCGGGTGGCGCTCAAGGACCTGCAAAGATGCAGAGAACAGAGCTTGAAAGGCTTTGTGCGATCTGTGAGTCCATTTTCGATTCGGAGCCGATGCTGCTTGAGCTTCAAGGGCCTTTGATGGTTGTGGGGAACCTTCATGGGACCCTTGGACGCAACTTTCCGCAGGGATTTACGCTGATGGTTTGCGTGTTTGTTCTTTGTCCTCCTGGAGCGTCATACAGCCCACTGTGAAAGTTGCACCTTTTTCTTGGTCTTTTTGGGATATACGTTTCGATATGTTTCGATTCGTTTTGGGAAGGCAAGTGTCTTTGAAGGGTTGCCATTGTGTTTAATAGCCAAAGATGGACTGGGTTCTTGGCTAGATCTTGCATGATCTTGCTAAAGTTTTGGCCTTGCTTCTGAGAACCGTTCTAGTATCAATAGATCGACCATGATCGACCGGTTATTGCTTGAAGTAATAGCACTCGCCTAGCCAATAAGTTTTGGAAGGACTCTGTTTCCGTCGACTTTGTGATGGGTAGCTGGTTGGTTGGTTGGTTTCGTTTCGTTTCGTTTCGTTTCGTTTGGTTTGGTTTGGTGGTTTGTTGGTTTGGTTTGTTTGTTGGTTTGTTTGGTTGGACTCTAGATACTTTGATCTCGCTCACTCCAGTACTCATTGGTGATCTTCTTCCAGCAGCCAGCAAGCAGCAGCAGTAGGAGCAGGAGAAGCAGCAGCAGGAACACAAGTGAGCAACATCAAGAGATCATCAAAGGGGAAAGTTGTAAAAGAAGACCACCAAGGCATTTCGACCAATTGCTGCAGATTCTTGACAAGATGGGCCATCCATCAGATACCAAGCGCTACCTATTCCTTGGCGGCTACGTTGACAGGGGTCCGAGAAGCCTTGACACGGTCTCGCTGCTCTTCTTCTTCAAGGCAGAATACAGTACGTTATTCGTTCCTTTCAGTTTTATTCAATTGCCTATGGCCAAGCAGATGTGCACAATCTTTGTAAAGATTAGCCCACAAAGACATAGCAATACTTACTTCCTTCATATGAGTATACAGTATGAGGTTCTTGATAGCACTCACAGCAGCAAAGCTACTGCATCTCTCTGCTCATGAGGCGCAACAGCCAGACAATGTCATCCTCCTAAGGAGCAACCACGAGCCTTTTGATTTGCGTTTAGTCTTTTCTGACATTTTTGATTTTGATGTCTAGTGATATTGGTCTTTATAGAATGAGAAAACTTTGTATCGGCTGATTGCCTTGTCCAAAGGGATGCATCGATGAGTCGCATCTATGGCTTCTATGACGAATGCCACAAGCATCATGGGGTCAAGTTGTGGAAGCTCTTTTGTCGGACCTTCAACTCTATGCCGGTTGCTGCTTTGGTGAACGAGCGAATCTTCTGTGTTCATGGTGGTCTTTCACCTGAACTCAAAGATCTTAACCAAATTCGCCAGCTGAAAAGGCCCGCGCAGGTGCCTGAATCGGGTCTTTTGTGTGACCTCCTTTGGTCAGATCCATCCGACACCAGTGGCTGGGGTGAAAATGACCGAGGCGTCTCTTTTACTTGGGGTGAGGATGTAGCCAAGCAGATGCTGAGTGATCTGAACTTGGATCTTATTTGCAGAAGTCACCAAGTGGTGGAAGGTGGCTATCAACTCTTTGCGGAGGGGAGAGCTGTGACCCTTTGGAGCATCCGGAATTTCAGACACATGGACATGCCGTCCACCTGTGGGGTGATGATGATTTCTGAAGATGGAAAGAGAACGTTTGAATGCTTGACGGAGTAGACACTGCGGTATGCTGCGGAGATTTACAGTCTTCCAACCTGGCCTATGCTGAACACCGGCGTTAGTGGTCACGTCATTCAACAATTAATGGCCGGTTGGAAAAATAGAGGGGGTTGGAAAATGGAGGGCAACAATCTGAGTGGTACTGGGTGCCAGTTGGATTCTCATTCGCAACTGCCATTTTGTCCCTTAGGTTCTTTTTTGTGCACTCGTACTGGCTAGTTTTTGGCTGAGAAGCACGCACTTGGGAGCTGGTACTCGAGCCATCTTGAACCTGTTCAAAGGAGGCCAAGTGTGTGACCATTTGCTGCTTGCATTTGCGATGTTTCTTTCGCGGGCCCTGTGCCCAGACTATGCCACTGGTGACTGTGTTCACAGACGTGGATGCCCTGATTGGAAGCAAGCAGGAGGCATGTCACAGTGTTGCAATTGAAGCCATCCTTATTTTTACACTTTCCCAGCTGGGTGAGCTGGGCAGGTTTGCAAAATGGTTCATGATGTTGCGCCCTCGGATTTCTTCCACCACATTCAGCGCCACCAAGCTTTTGGTGCGCTGGCGCAATGTGGTGTGAGAACCCGTGCTGTGCTTTGCGGTCGTCGAGCGTTTTCCAGGCCGTGAAGTCGGCTCTTGGGAAGCCTGACCAGTATATCACCGTTGCATTGATGAAGGCCAGGTCGCATAAAAGAATTCCTATATCTCTGGCACTGAAAGTGCAGCGCAGGCCGAGTGTGTGACAGTGGCTGGACAAGAAGCCTCAGTGGCAGAGGACTCAGGTTTAAGTACATGAGAATTTGGGTTTCTGTGGATGCAGCAATGCAAGTTGTCAACTTAGGTCGTTGAGGTGGATTCCATTGGTGGTGATTTTGGAGCTCTCATCGGAACTATTGCGAAAGGTCTTCAGGCAGGGTGCAATCCTCCACTACAGGCTGTAGGGATTTATGATGATTTGTGGTCACTGGTAAAGGGGACATGATATGTTTGAAGTGATTTCTTGATGCCAAGCGAGAGCTGGCTGCTATTGGTTTGGACAAGGCGTTTTTGTCAGTACTTGAAGGCCTTTTTGTATGAATGATCAGGGAAATAGAGCGAGTGGCACGTTGTTTGTGGAAGACTAGTAGGAATGGCCTCGATACATCCGATATCATGCTTCTAGTAGCTTCTTGTTACTAGTAGCCATATCAGGAGCCCCTAGTAGCGTCCTTGCTCCTAGTAGTACGGCCAGGAGCCCCTAGTAGCTTCTTGTTCCTACACGTAAGGATTACCAGCTCATGAATGTAATTCGATGTCTTGCGAGAACCAGCTGAGTGGAAATGCAGCGGGTATGTTCTTTTTTATTGTGCTATGTTGTTCTTGTCAGACATTCATTCTGTCCCTCTTGTTGCATTTTACAGGGGTGAATCGATTCAAATCCATATGACTAAGGGTTGAATCCATTCATCCCCAGAAAGCATGGCTCTCTTCTTTTTCCAAAACCTCCGTTTCCCCGTCGTTTCGCCGGATCTGGAGGCTCATGGCGTGGAACCTTCGAAGGCGAGTGTTCGAAGGCAGCAATGCGCAGTGCGCTGTCATCGGACATTCGCAGGTCACCGGAACCTTTCGAGGAGTGAGCTTCAAGGAGATCAGTCTTCGAAACACGGCGTGAAAACACACCTGAATTCTTCACATGTCTTGAAAACACCAGGAGTTCGCTATGAATGGCAGGCCTCTGGGCTAAGCGCAAATAGGGATCAGAGCTTGACAGACTGGTTTGCAACAGCCAAATCAAAGCGGTGCAGAAAAAGAGACGAAGAAGAGGAAGTAAGTTTCCCCAAAATCTAGGAACCAAATCATTAATTAAGGCTGCCCAGGGGGCTTCCTTGAAGAAGCGTGAACTATCCTGCGTCCAGTAGGTAGTAGCTTCCTATTGCTATTAGCCAGTTTACTCTCTTACTTAATTAAGTAGGCGCCTACTTAATTGAGTAGGAGCGGGCTAAAGAGGTCCAAGTTGAGTAACGCAGTGGTGCATGGTGCATGGCCGTGCAAGGCTGCACGACCCAAACGCCATGGCTGCACGAATGCGAACTGCTGCATGAGAGACTTGCAATGCCCGTTGCAAACTGTATTTGGCCTTGAGTCGAAGCTGCGACGGTCAAGCCACTTGAGATACTAGCAACCAGCAATCAAGACATTTGGAACCTATTAATTGCTATTGGTTGCTGTACAGCTGTTCTGGCAATGGGAGCCAAATCCTTTGAGAGAGCATAACCGTTGTTTAGAGATCCTAACGGTCCGTGCTAAGGGTTACCTGAGGATAAACATTCAATTTCTTGTACTCATGGGACCATAGTGATCCTTCGCTTCAAAGATGGCGGTGACAGACTTGCACGGAGCTCAGCATGGAAATTGGCAGTGCTTTGGAGAAGCGAGGCCACCCTTTTGTTATGTTCGCTTGACTTTCAGGCTCTCCTTTTTCTTTTTTCTGTGAGGAAGACCTTGATCGCCACCATGAGTCCAGCTCTTGGACCTGAAGGAGAGGCCAGAACCTTAAAGGGAGCACTAGAGCTGCTTGGGCGGACGCTGAGTCAAAGGAACACTTGAGCTTTTCAGGTTGAAATGTGTGCTCTGAGTAACTCCAAGTAACTGCATAGATAACGCCAGATTTGAGCCTCAAACTATCCCCGCCGAGCTGTCCAGCTCGAGCATGACCGCACATTCTCAGCAAATAGTGCGACCTTGCAAAAGGTCACGCCAGCTTAGTAGATTTAGATGTAGATTGAGTTCCATTCAAATAGCCAGTCCCACGGAGCATAGTTTTCTAGTTCTGTTTTGCGTAGCCGGTACGGATGGACTTCGACAACGAGTCACTGCTGCGATGCTTTTGCTCCGAAGAGGAGGAACAGGAGATCATTTCCTGGAACAAAGAAAACGGTCATGCTCGCTCTGACATTTTTGAATTTAGTAGTTGAGCTGCATTTAGACTGCTATGTGCTTTTGCTGTTCGTGCAGGGAGGCCTGCGTTCAGATTGAAAGAACACATGCAGGCCTCAGTGTCCTCACCAGTCATTGGTTTTGTTTGATCATTCACTGATCACAAGTACCAAGGACTTGAAGAAGCAGACAAGCTGAGAGAGGAGGGCAATGAGTTCTTTAAATCTGGGAACTTTGACACTGCCCGTCAGCGCTACTACGGGGCCATATGGCATCTTGACTTTGACATTGGCCAGCAATGGAACCTCATGGACAAGCATCAGCTTGACCTGAACACCAGGCGCCTTGATTGAGCTCAGCCTATTTTAGCAGCTTGCACTCGGACACGCAGACATCCTGTGTAGAGACTGCAGGTGAGACCAGACACCTGGGTAACGGTTACAGTTTAATTCGTTGTTGAAACCAACATGCTAGTTTTTCAAAAAACTATATTACGAACATATTACAATAGTCAAGAATGCACGCAACTAATGTTTTAGTGCTTTTCTCATTTGTGTCCACTTTTCATCCAGTTTATCTCATTATTTCTGAATCCATTTCAAACCACATGTTTTTTTGCTATTTAGTTGTCATTCATAAACAAACCCACCTTGCTGGACAAAACAAGGATGTACAGTTGCTGTCTCATACTTTCTAGCAGCTAGAATCTAACTGCCGATTCTCCACACCCTTTTGATGTAGCATTCACACAGTCAAGCAATCACAAGGGTCCGAGGAAGTGCAGAGGAGAGTCCATGGCGACTTGCAACGGTTGCAGAACAAACCAAAGTAAGTTTATAGATTTTAGAAAGCATGCACAAGACCTTTTGGCTTGTTCAAAATCCTTATTGCAGGGGCCCAAACACCCCTGTTTTTTGGGCTTTTACACATTACTAAAACTTCTTCTTTGACTTCCGCTTTTCCCAAGAGTCGCCCCAAGAGTCGCGCATCACAGAATCCTGCCGTTCGATGGATCAGATCTGAACCGACTGGTGGAACCGAGGAAGCTGAAGGTCATCAGCAACATTTGTGGTGCATATCTCAAGTCAAACGACTGGTTGAACACAAAGAAGGCAGCTGACATTGGGCTCAGACACCTGGAGAAAGCTGAGCTGAAGGACCCCGATGCAAGAGGCAAGTTCCTTTACAGAAAAGGTGCCTTATATCGGTTCATTCAATTTTGGTTCATCATGACATGATGCTTTATGATGCTTTCTTTTTCTGGTGTTGCACTCTCTCTCTCTCTCACACACATATGATGCGAAATGCACTTCTTCCCGATCGTACTGCAGCAAGGCTACAGTCACATTTGATTCTGTTCATCCAATCACTTCAGCATTGAGTAGACGACGGTAAACCAAGTGTTAAACTTGTTGCATTGGACTTCAGTCGTCATGCCATGCATGGTAGTATTGCATGTGCCTTCCGAATTGTTTAAACACTCTGTTAAACCCATCAGCTGTAGAATGCAGCTCAGCTGAGGTTTTGCCAACTTACAGCGTGGCTTTGCAGAGGATGCATACACATCCCTCAAAGAGGCATCCGAAGGGTTTCTGCAAAAATAGTCACTCGCTAGCGTGCTGTGCTCAGGCGGATTCTTTGATTCCTGGCGACAAGCAGGTTCGGCAAGCACTCAAGGAAGCTGCGGAGCACCAAAAAGCTGCAACTTGGTTTTGGTTCGGACATGAATGAGAGAGGTATAGAGAGGTCACATTGTTTGCATTAGGATTCTTGCGGATCTTGTCACCCAGGATCGGCAAAAGGCTAAAGAAGTTTGGCGCAGCAAGTGACTGTGCCTGCAAACAAATGCAGTTTCAGCGCGACATTTCTTTTGCTGGATCAGCGTACAGGAGTACTACCAGCTTTGCTGAGTGTGCCAACCACTGTTGCTGGCGCATGATTGGATTTAGTCGCATCGGTTGATGTCGTCCCCAAGGTTATTGTCGGAGGAGGAGAAAGCTTGTCAGGCCGCTGGCCTGCGGCTCTTGCGAACCACTTTGCACTTTGATGGGAGAACACCTACCCGGACAAAATGGACTTCCTGTCTTGCAGTGTAGCACAGACACAAGTGCGCACACACACACACACTCACACACATACTATTTTTTACTTTGCTTGGAGCTTGCGCAGAGCAAGTAATGTGTTGTCGATATAGTTGCCAAAATGGCACTGCCATTTTGGCTCAAGTCTTCGCTTGTTGGCACCAACTGTGTGAAAACATTGCTCCTTCCTGCCACTCTTTGTTCGCCATGGCTGCTGACGGTGCTTCCAGCCAGTCCGCAGGTTTGGACTTTGTTGTGAGAAACCCTAGTGCCCTGGCGGAAGACTTCATGATCCTTGATTACAGGCGCCGTCGATGGCTGTGGAGGACGCCCCTTCGGAGTTGGACCCTGAGCCAACCACTGACGTCTTGATGGCAGAGGTGGAGCCTGCGCCGGTGTTGGATGCGCACGCCCAGGAAGTCCTGGCCACCCAACTCAAGGACCTGGCGGACGTTGCCAAGCTTGGCCTACAGGTCCAGCCGGGCCTACTGCTGCGGTAGCGCCGGACACCGAGGTTGGCCCGAGAAGGTCCAGCGTCTACTGTGTCGACCATCCCGGAGAAGGTCACACCCCAGGAGACTCTGCAGGGCTTGCTGCTGCTGATGCTGAGGCACCCACAGTCACGTCCCTGAAGGATGAGCTGGCGCGGGTGACCCTAAGTTCTGACGGCTTCCAAGTTGAGGGGTGGGAGACGGTGCTCCCGGTTTTGCCTGAGACTTGGCAAAGCGGGCGGCCAATCAGCTCCTGAAGGCCAGGCAATCGGCTCGCCGGGCTGCTCTCCGCGAATGCTTTCTGGGTCGGACTTCGGCTTGGGTGTGTGCTGACTGCCACCTTCCATGGCAGGCCGACAAGACGCGCTGTTTGGGCTGCAAGAGCTTGGCAACTCCTAGCGGCTGCGCCTTAGCTTGTCGGGACCCCATTGGGTCCTGGTGGACTCCTCCGGCTCGGTTCGTGACCCTGTCTTGCCTGGGGTTGCATTCCACCTCGGACAGATGCCTTCGCCGGCCTCGACCGGTTGAAGGCCAAGCGGAAGACCTGCCAGGAGGGACTGGTGGACTGTGATCAAACCTTAGAGGAAAGCCCCCTTGCGCAGGCGGTGATCCGCGCACCCTAAGGGCGTGGCGGCGGGGCCCCCAGTTGGCAGCCCCTGGCGCCGAGCGGGGGTCCTCCAAGCAGGTCATGGATCAGTACATTTGTGCGATGGCACGATTCCAAGCGGCCTGCAGTGCCAGGTTCAATGACCTTCAGCATACCAGTCCGGCGGTTCAAACTGACCGAGACCACCATGGTGTGGCAGACGAAGACAGTCAGCGCCTTCCGCATCAAGAAGAGCCCGGTGCCTTTGATTTGGCCCCTTTACTCATTTATGGGGAAAGACTGGTGGTCGGTCCTGACAACAACCTGGACCCGGTTGGTTGGGCATGAGAGGTTCCAGGACATGGACTACCTCATCCCGACGGTCAGCTGCCGGCACCTCAGTTGGCACAGCTTCCGGTTTTCATACCCAAAGCTCACGAGCATCCGTGCACCTTTTGGATGCCGAAGGACGTGCGGTGGGGTGCGGATGGACGCCGTCGCAAAGGCCTTAGATCCTTCGGTGTGGCGTGGTGGCGCCAGAGAGCTGTTGAGTCTTTGTCCATGGCATGACGACCCTTCTCCTTACCCTTGCTGCACTTGGATGCCCACTTGGCTGGCGCAAGACGGCAATCTCAGAGTTCAACAAATGGCCGGGCTTCGAGGTGAATCCCAGAGGACCTCATTTTCTTCGCAATCCTCAGGTGCTGACCAGGAACACCCCATGAAAGGAGACGCGTGGTGGTTCCACTACAAGGTGGACCTGACCGAACATCCTTGGGCACACAAAGCAGGTGACCCAACTCGTCGAGTGCCTGCCCTGGAAATGTTTGGAACTTTGATCCTGACATGGTTCCTCCTCCAGAAGGGTGGTCGCTCGCTCCTTCGGACGAAGCTTAGCCGACAATCAAGGGAACATCTATGCCATGCTTAATCAGCAGACCAGGAAGATGCTGACATCTGCTTTCCTGATGCAGCTGATTGTGATCTTGCGCCAAGCGGGCGTCCAGCTGGCGCCGTCCCGTATGAAAAGAGACTACAACCAATGGGCGGATGAGCTGACTCACCCGGGCTTCACTGGTTTTCGGGCAGACCGACAACTACTACCTGTGAGTGACGCCTCGAATCATTTCACTCTTTTGCGGGCAATTTTAAACGCCCAAATGGATTTTTCGTCTTCTAAGAGACAGAACCTTGCTTCTCCTGCCACCCAAGGTCCTCTTTAGGAGCCGGGTGGTTGCGGCTTACTGTATACTCTGTGGTGACGTCAACCGGGTGGAAACCCAGGGTGACACCACCACTTTTTTGTTTTTGGAAGTGTTCCGTGTGAAAGGAACCAGATCCAGTGGACATCTGGATCAAACACAGCCGCAAAGCCAACTGCATAAAAGAGTGAAGCGTGTTTTGCAGTTTGGTGTGGTTGTGTACTCTTTTTGCCATTTTCAACTCTATTTGGGAACACACACACATATATATATATATTCATGTGATATACAACTATGGCTAGTTGTACGCAGTACACGGCTTGTCACGTAACGATCGGTAGCTGAGTGGCTCAATCCACTTTCAGCTCTAGGCGGGGCCCAGCTTCGCCGCAATGGCAGCCCAAGAGGATCGGGCTTTGGTGGAAGGCCGCACCAGCCTGACAGAGGATGAGTTGGAAATCCTCAAGAAGTCAGGCTGGACGGTCACTCGGCTAGCGACGCTCGATGGCTGCGGAGATGATGCACTTGGCGCAGTCATCTGGAAGCTGCAGCAGCGAGACGAGGAGGTCACCATAGACAAGAGCAGGCTAGCCGAGCTGGTGAAGTTGTGCGCAGTCTGCGCGCAGGCCAGGCATCAGACAGATGCAAAGCGCGGGTCACAAGACCTGATGGATGCGCATGTGGCCCATCAAAGGGATCTTCGTCGTCGGACCTTCCACGAGATCCAGCGGGCCGAGGCGGAATCCAAGATCGTTCAGGTGGGAACGGCCAAGAGATCGAGGTGGCCCACACGCCTCAGCATGAAGCTTCACATAGCCTCGAACGACTTGGAGCTCCGTGAACTCGCAGAGAAGCAAGAGCGAGATCGATGGGTGAAGGAAATTCGAGATATAGTCAAAGCAGCCAAGCTCCCGGTGGCACAGCGCTCCAGCGATGATGCGCTGCTCATTCGGGTAGCCAAAGGACGTCGTGCCAACACGTTGAGGAAGCGCGTCAAGACGTGGATGAAAGCGTCCAGATGGCTGGATGCAGTCTTTGGTGAACAGTGGCCGGCCAGTCCTGAATGCTTCGCAGAGTTCTTGGAGGCTATGGTAGAGGAACCTTGCGCTCGCAGTTTTCCCGAGGCTGTGTTCAAGGCGCTCATGTTCCTCGAGTACGCCGGAGAGGTGCCAGAGGCAGATCAGCTTTGCCGAGCGCCGGCGATCAAGAACGCCTTAGAAGAGGCGAACCTGAGGCTGCAGTCAGTGGAGTTGAAGCCTTCCAGAAAGGCCCTGGTCATCCCAGTCTCCATCGTGATCGCATGGGAACAGCACGTATGCGATGAGTCGAAGCCCAACTATCATCGTGTATATGCATGGTTCAGGCTGACAAAGCTGTGGACAGGCGTGAGGTTCGATGACACCAGAGGCGTGCCGAACCGTACGTTGGAGCTCAGTGACACGTGCCTGAAAGGGGTCATTCACCGCTCAAAGACATCAGGTCCTGGAAAGCATGTGATCTTGCTCCCCTTCTACATCAGCCGACAGGCCTGGATCATGGAGAAGGATTGGTTGGAAGTGGGCTGGAAGCTCTGGTCATCCATGGGAACCACCTCGGGCTTGGCGACGAGAGATTTCATGTTGCCATGGCCTGACAAGAGTTGCAATGGCTTCGTGAGGAAGGTGGTGGACTACCCCATAGCATCAACCATGTCGCAGGCCCTGTTCAACGAGATTCGCACTGGAAAGGGTGAAGCGGCAAAGCCTCTCTTGCAGCCGGGCTTGGGAGTGTTGTGGACGGAGCACAGTGAGAGGGTCACTGTGCGGACATGGGCTCAGGCCGCCAGAATACCCGAAGATGTTCGGCGGATGATCGGGAGATGGCGTATGCGTCCATCGGCGGACGAGGCATACGAGCAGAATGTCAAGGTGAACGTGCTGCGCAGTCAGAAGGTCCTGGCAACGTTCATCAAAGAGAACATGGCAAACTCCGATCCTTTCGATGAGACGAGCGTGGTGCAACTCGTCGAGCAGCGTATGCGCGGCATGGGCTTCAAGCAGGAGGAGTGCGATGAGCAGATGATGAGCTTGATGACATTCATGCCGGGCCACGATGCGGCCAGGCCCTGCGTCAGGCCCAAGTGGACGACTACAGGGCCAGTGGTGTTGGTAGGAGACGAAGAGAGCGTCGTGGAGGTCAAGACGGAGAATGCAGGCTTGGACGATCAGAGTGACGATCTACAGGAGGTCGAGACGGACCAGGCCGAGGTCTTGCCGCTGGAGAAGGTGGCAGGAATGTTTGTGGTATCGGTGGTGGGCAGGTCAAAGACCAAGACCCTACACCGGATTGGTGACTGCCATAGGCAGTCCGGAGTACACTACGCCCATTTCGAGGTGCTAGGCCAGGAAGCGCCCAGCACGGCGGCCTATCACAAGGCATGCCGCCAGTGTTTTCGATTCGGCGTAGCGGATGTGGCTGCGACAGCAGGAGCGCTCGGGGAAGACGAATCCTCGGGCGAGGTCACGTCGTCAGAGATGACGGAGTCAGGAGGAGAAGAAAGCACGGGGTGGCAAGGCAACAATGGGGCGTTCATCCTGTGAAGGATTTCCAAACTTACCGCGTGGCAGAGTGCAGCACGAAATGACGCGAGAGCAGTCTTCTCGGGTC